TTATGCAAAATTACTTGTAATCTTGAATTTTAAGTAATATGCATCAATAAAGAGTATTTTATGCATAAAAAAATGTTTTTTAAGAGTTTTTGTCAAATGCTTTATAATATAGTATAGATAAATAAAAATTTTATAGTTTAAAATAATTGAACCATGAATGAATATATATATATATATATATTGATGAGTTGATCCACCTATGCGTCTTGTTTTTACTAGGATATGATCTTTCCCCCTCAAAATCGGACGTGAGTTTCCTTTGATGATTTTGAAATCTTTTCTACTAGGTAATTAAGTATCTTTATGCATGACATTTGTTTTGAATGCGATAATTTTCAAAAAAAATTGAGATATTTTAAAAAACTCTTATGTCTGCAAAAAATAGTATTTTGGTAAAAGTATTCTAGCTATTTTCAAATAGACCCGAATTGACGGTAGGCCTCCCAAAAGGTAATGGAGGCGTGCAAAGGTTTCCTCAAATTCAGATTACTATTCATGTTAGTGATTCAGCCGAATTTTATTGGGCCTTTCCTGCGCAACTTAGGTGGAAGGCGAAGAATGCCTCCTTCCGGACTGCCGAATCGGAAAAATTGTGTGCTATCATATGTGTGTGTGTGTGTGTATATATATATATATATATATATCTTGGTCCCTATGACTTTAATAGAAAATTAATTAAATGATTAAAATGTCCCTTTTAGTTAACCTATTTAACAAAATAATTTGGATGAAGTTAGATTTAGAGACCCAATGTATTGTAAAATGTAAACCATGAGGATGTAATCCATAGATATTTCAAATTTAGGACCCAGAGTGATAAAACACATAAACTATAGGGACCTAATTGTAATTCACTCATAATATATAGGCGAAAGATTGTGTGCGAAGGAGAGTTAAGGTAAGAAGCGTAAGAAGAGACTTGATCACCTTTAATCTCAAACTCACCAATGAATTGCTCTTGATATGAGGATCGATCTGATACATCTCATCTTAGTATATCTCATCCTAATGTGCATCCAAATGTGGAGATCCCTTCTTACATTTTTTACTTTAATTCTCCTTCTCACAGGAACCAAACCATATATATATATATATATATATATAGAGAGAGAGAGAGAGAGAGAGAGAGGAATGATCAAATGCAAACCACTCAATTTGTACAAATCGTGCAAACCACCCTCATCTGCCGATTTCATTGTTTAATCTTATGAAATTTTTTTATGAAATAGTTTAATCTTGTGAAATTGTTTTATATAATATTTTTTTTCATTAAGTTGTTTCATATATAGTTATGAAATTGTTTCATATAATATTTAATGAAACTGTTTCATGTATTTCTCTAAAATTAAAATAATGAAAATAATAATATCCATGATTAACACCCTCTACAATAAAAATGATTAATCAACCTCTCATAATTACAAAAAAAAATAAACAAAATAAAAATTTATGATTGGTTGAATGAGATTTGTACGGTTTGTACAAATAACGTGGTTTGAAAAGTAAACCTCCTCTCTCTCTCTCTCTATATATATATATATCTCTGTGTGTGTGTGTGTGTGTGTGTTTGTGTGCATGTGTGCGAAACCGCAAAAAAATAAAAAAACTAATGAACTCCCTAGTAGCCATTCATCTAAATAGTAAGTACATGTGCATATAAATAATTTATAAGCAATTTGTTAGGTATACACATGTCCATAACATGCACACTTGCATAAAAACCAAAAAAATAGCTTTAATATTTGTATATACATGTGCATACCATCCTGAAAAATGGTTACCAGGACGTTCCTCATATTTTTTATTTTTTTTTAGGGTTTTCCCTAAACCTCCTTATATACATGCATGCATGTATACATACATCCATACATACATACATACATACATGCATGCATGCATCCATGCATGCATGCATGCATACATACATAAATACATGCATGCATACATACATGCATACATACATACATACATACATACATCCATACATACAAACATACATCCATACATACATACATACATACATGCATACATNCATACATACATACATACATACATCCATACATACAAACATACATCCATACATACATACATACATACATGCATACATACATGCATACATACATACATGCATACATACATACATACATACATACATACATACATACATACATACATACATACATACATACACACACACACATACATACATACATACATACATACATTTACATGCATACATACATACATACATGCATACATGCATACATACATACATAGGTGTGGTTTCAAATACAAACTATACAAACCGTAATCAATGCTTATATTAGGCAGCAGCTAAGATATTTATTGACACATATAATGATTTGTTAATTATAATTGAGATATATTTGTAAGATGATAAAGTTCATCCATTATGATCATGACTTTAAATTAGGAAACAAAATGAAATCATATATTTATTTAGAAACCATAAAATTAGTTGAGAACCTAGTAACTACCCGCAACACGACACCAATAACGTGTACATGTTATTCATCATAAATGTTATAACATATTCATCATGAATATATGATTCATGAAGAATAACACATCGACATTCATCATTAATGTGTGATTAACATTTCCATATTCATCATGAATGTGTTACTCATGATGAATATTCATCTTGAAGAGAGACACGTGGCACTATGGACGATTCGTGGATTCCTAATAAACTTTTGGTTTCTAATGGAACATTTCTCGCTCTTTTCTCTCTCACTCTGTTGGCCCTGGATAGGTTAATGACTTACACTACAGTTGTTTGTAGAAGGGGGTGGGGTGAATATAAATACAACAAATTTTTCACTTTTAATTTTTTGTTCTATATTTTGCATAAAAACAAAGAATTACAGATATGTTGAGAAAGTTAGGAAGGTAAAACCTGTGATCCTAAACTAATAGACTGGTAACAATTTTGCTGATACTGAAAGAGTAGGAAAAGAAATCACTCTTTCAAATATGAAGAACTAAGATAGTCTTCAGATATCATGATGTTGATCTAAAAGAATAAACACTTGGTTATTATTTAAAAGGAGCAAGTTGTAGATGATCTAGAGACTGTCTTTCATAGCAGTCGATGCATTAAATGCAACAATGCAACATTAACGTGTGTCTTCATTTGATTTGTTGATCCATGTACCATTATACTTTTTCATATCAGCCTCTTATACGATGTAGACACTTGTTGCTTCAACTTGTCCTTCTATATGTCGAGTGAACAATAAAGTAAAAACCAAATAGTATTTTTGATACCTTTGAACTTGCTTTTGCTGACATGCTGAGCATGTTCCTATACCAGGATAAGAATTGGAGAATTGATCCTGAAGTATTTTCGTCTAGTCTTTATCCATGCTTTAATACGTAGACTAAACAACAAAGTAAGCGAATATTACTTGCTTTGGCTGGCATGTTGAACATTTTCCCACACTAGGATTTAGAGATGGTAAAAGAAACTTAGTCCCAAAGTCTTCTCTAATCTTCATGGAAGATAACATTTGTCAAACTATATCTGACTTATTTGTCTTCTGATCTTCTATCACCTAGATGATAAACTAATCCGCGTTGGTGTCGATCTAATTTCACTTTAACTAGTCTTTGATTTTGCTGAAAGCATTTTGCTTGATCAGATAACAGATTACAAAATAAGACTTACAAAGGAAATCCTATCTAAAAGGATGATGATGATGGGTATCCGATATATGAGGTATATTTTAGATACACCAAAAACATATCCTTATCAATTTATGAAGTTAAAACATTGGATGATAGAATAACTTAGAATAAAATATAGGTTTTTGAGAATCAAGACTGAATGACCTTTGAAGATGGATCAATCGGATTCATATATTTAAATGGAGAATCCTCACATTTTATTTAAGCTATTGGATCCGATGGTGACTAGAGTCTAAAGCTTTGACAAAATAAGTTTATTTGGTGTTCAAGGTTCGGATGTTATTGCATTTGTGTCACATTCGATAGATGAAGTATATCGGATCCAATCCCTTGTGTTTTATCTAATGTATATCAGATATACATAACTGTGTTATATCCTATCGATAATGTATATCAGATGTAAACACTTTATGTTATATCATATGGATAATGTATATTGGAAATAAACATTTGTGTCATATCAAATGGATGATGCATATCGGATATGACCATTACAAATCAAGTATTAAGAACTTCTTTTTTAAGTATTGAATTGAGTCGAATGTTATATGTTTTATTTACAAATCTGATGATTGAGAC